AAAAAAAAAAAAAAAATTTAGAAAAGACCAGTGAAACTAAAAGCTGGTTCTTTGAAAAGAAAAAATAAATAAATAAATAAACCTCAAACCCCAGAATTAGTTTAACAGGTGAATTCTACTAATCATTTAAAGAGTTGGTAATTATCTTTGTCAAAAATTAAAGAAGAAACACTTCCAAACTCATTCTACAGAGCCAACATTACCCTGATATCAAAACCAGACAAAGATACAGCACACAAAGAAAGAAAATAACAGGCCTACAGTTCTGATGAATACAGATGCAAAAATCCTCAACAAAATACTAGCAAATGAAATTCAACAGTACACGAAAGGATCATACACCATTATCAAGTGAGATTTATTCCAGGGATCCAAGGGTGGTTCAATATCTGTAAATTAATCAACATTATGTTACATTAACAAAACAAAAATCTTATGATCTTAATATATACAGAAACATCATCTGACAAAAATTCAACATCATTTATGATAAAAACTCTCAACAAAGTTAAATATAAAAGAAACATACCTCAACATAACAATGACCATATATGACATAGAATAACATACTCAACAGTGAAAAACTGACAGCTTTTCCTTTAAGATCAGGGACAAGACAAAAATACCCACTCTGGTCATTGTTATTCAAGAAGTCCTAGCCACTACAATTAGGTAAGAAAAGAAATAAAAGGCATCCAAGTTGAAAGGAAGTGAAACTGTCACTATTTGCAAATGGCGTGATACTATACATAGAAAACCCTAAAGACTCCACCAAAAAACTCTTAGAATGAATTTAGTAAAGTCACAAAATTAACATGTAGAAATTAGTTGTTTCTATATACTAATGAGCTATCAGAAAGAGAAATTAAGAAAACAATACCATTTACAATTGCATCAACAAAAATAAAATACCTAGGAATAAATTTAACAAAGGAGGTGAAAGACCTGTACAGGCATACCTCTGAGATATTGCAGGTTCAGTTCTAGACCACCACAATAAAGCTAATACTGCAATAAACCAGTCAAATAAATTTTTTAGTTTCCCAGTGTATATAAAAGCTATGTTTACCCTATAGTGTCATCTATTACATGTGCAATAGCATTAGGACTAAAAAACGATGTACATACCTTAATTTAAAAATATTTTATTGCCAAAAATGATAACCATCATCTGAGCTTTCAGAAAGTTGTAATTATTCTATTGGTGGAGGGTCCTGCCTCAATGTTGATGGCTGCTCACTGATCAGGGTAGTGGTTGTATAAAGCTGGGGTGGTTGTACAATTCTTTTTTTTTGGCAGTGGTGGGGTGGGGTTGTCTTCCAGTAAGGACTGGAAACCCTGCTAGACAAATTCTAAAAGAGCTGTAACACTCACAATTTCTTAAAATAAGACCATAAACCTTGCCACATTGCCTTCCTTTCACCAACTATTTTCATGTAGCATGCAATACTGCTTGACAGAATTTTACCCACAGAACTTTCAAAATTGGACTCAATCTTCTCAAACTCTGCTGCTGCTTTATCAACTAAGCTTATGTAATATTCCAAATCCTTTGTTGACTTTCAACAATCTTCACAGCATCTTCCAAGAGTAGATTCCATCTTAAGAAACCACTCTTTGCTCATCTGTAAGATGTTCTCATCCACTGAAGTTTTATGAGATTGCAGCAATTCACATCTTCAAGCTCCACTTCTAATTCTAGTTCTCTTACTTTTTCCACATCTGCAGTTACTTCCTCTACTAAAGTTGTAAACCCCTCAAAGTCATCCATGTACTTCTTCCAACCTATTAATGTTGATATTTTGACCTCTTTCCATGAATCATGAATGTTTTTAGTAACATCTAGATTCATTAGTCTTCAAGAGTATTTTTAGGGGCGCCTGGGTGGCGCAGTCGGTTAAGCGTCCGACTTCAGCCAGGTCACGATCTCGCGGTCCGTGAGTTCGAGCCCCGCGTCAGGCTCTGGGCTGATGGCTCAGAGCCTGGAGCCTGTTTCCGATTCTGTGTCTCCCTCTCTCTCTGCCCCTCCCCCGTTCGTGCTCTGTCTCTCTCTGTCCCAAAAATAAATAAAAAAACGTTGAAAAAAAAAATTAAAAAAAAAAAAAAAAGAGTATTTTTAATTTACCTTGCCCAGATCCATCAGAGGAATCAATGCCTATGCCTATAGCCTTAT